TTCCCACCCTTGCCCAAAATCAAACGGTCCCCCCCGGTTCTGTGTCGAGCGTGCAACCCCATTTTTCTTTTTTTTTCTTTTTTTTTTTTTCTTCTTTTTTACCCCTCCCCTTTCGAACGCAATCACCGTGATTTCCATTTAGGCGTTCGTTTTCACCTCTTCCCGTTTGAGGGCACTAATGACTTCTGCGGTAATGGCCCCTGGCTGCAACTTCCATTCAAAACTGCTCTGTGAATTGAGTAGCCTCTCGATCGTTCTTTTCTACACTTTCCTATTACGGTAAACCCATTCGGCGTGTGTCAGCCGCACCATACGATCCCCGGTTTACTTCCTCTTCCTCTTCGTATCTCTCTTTTTTTTTTTTTTCTTTTTTTTTGGTGACCGAGCGATAGGCTAATCTCTTTGATTTTCTGACACACCCGTTGAAACATTGAGAAACGAAGCGTGTTAAGTAATTGAAACTTAATCGTCCGATGAGATTGAAAGATAGAGCAGGCAGGGCAGGGTTTGAAGTGCTGGCTATTACTTATATATGCCCTGCGACTATATCCTGCGCTGCTATACATGAATCAAGCTAGCGATAAGATAGTACGGTGTTGCTAAACACGATCATAAACGGAATAAATATTAAGAGCGTAGTATCAGTCACCCGTCATGTAGTGAATTAAACTGTGGCTTTTCTTGAAATATGTAGAAGCATAAAGAGAGGGAGGGGGGGGGGGTTTCGAGGCAAAATCGGTACTATCGATACTCTGAATGGTTACATTGGTGCCACGTTCAGATATGGGTCAAAGTTGATCGCAACTGGATCTCTCCCCGAATTTTCGAATTCTCCGTTGTCAGAAAAATTTTCTGCATTGCGTAGCGTCGGTGTAGCTAGATGAGAACCCCACTTGGTATCCCTAAAACTTTCTTCCGATCTTTGAAATCATTCGCGCCAGGTAAATCCATCGGATCGTTCTTTGAACGTGTTGAACCTCGAGCGAGAAGAGGCGCCCTGTACACGAGATCGGGAAGGAAAGAAGAAGAGAGATCCCCAAGGTTCGCGCATGGAACAATCAGCGAACGTAACCGTGGCCTTGGCTGAAGCTCGAGCCACTTCCGGAAGAGGTTAATACCCGAAACGCATCGCTGACTCGGAGGGCTAGAGCGTGTCGTGAATGGTTCAAGTTTCTCTATGCTCTCGCGGAGCAACAACCTATTCCAGAACAATGCCTATTTATTTAGACACAGATCGTTGTGTTCATTAAGGGATCTGGGGGGATAATTTTTATAGTTAGTCGAAGTTAATGACGGCGTGGGAGAGAAAAAAAAAAGTCGTGGGTGGTCCCGGTCTGTAACGAGTAAAGCTTAATTGCTCGACAAAAGGCCGATGCATTTTTCCACGGATAAATGAAAAACGTTGACGCTAGAGACCGTTCATTCGTAATAGCGTCGTGTAATTTGTATTGCAATCCTGGCAATTAACGTTGACGTAACGACCGATGCAGTTCTATCGAACCTCGTTGTTACTCGCGTCGAGTCTTCTGCTTCCTCTGTGTTTCGAATCAGATAGATTTTCGTTAAATTTTCGTTTTTCTTTTTGTTTTTATTTTCGTGAAATTGGTCTGCCAAAATTGACCAATTCCAGTCTCTCCTGGCCTCCGGTCTCTAGTTGCACGAAGATTCGACCGATCGATAAAAAGATAGGGAGAATTGGACCAAGTGCGATTCTCTGCCTTAGACGAGAACGGTGCTATTCCGCGGTCAAATCGTATCGCGTTTGTCGGTCAATTAGAGTCCAGAGCAAGTACCGGTAACGTAGAGACGAACGTTTTGTCGGTGAACGTCCGCAGGGGGTCGTCGACCCAGGCCAACCAGGCCTTTAGTCGTTTACGGCTTTAAGTTTACGGTATCTGTGGACGTGGACAGGCCCGCTCACCGGGCTCTTCTTTCTCTCTCACTCTCCCATGTTCTTTCGACCTTGATCCGTAACTTAAAACCTGGCTGGCCCGGCTCGATTCTCACCCTGTAACAGGATGTCGTCATCGAGCCACGAAACACACCACGATTACAGTTGCCGTCCGTGTGGAGATTTGCGCGACCAACAATTCAATCGGTCGTTTTCTCCGACAGTTTAATCTCCGTCGAAAGCGATTGGAGTTCTGCCCAGACTTCCACGGTAAATGCTCGCCGGGCATTGTCGAATAAATTAAGACGATGAGGACGAGCTGACGTCATTTGTAATGCTTCGTACGCCTGCCACGTATCGTTGAAAATTCACGATGTAGCCGGCATTCCCTGTTCCCGACTGTTAGCCCGGTTAGCTCTTTAGCATTCCTGTAACTGTATAGAACCGAGTGGAAGACGCTGTGGCTGCCGTCTTTCCATTTCATTAATAATCAAGCGATTATTGAGTCGTACGATATATCGTAAAAGGTAATAGCACGAAGAGACGTGAAATTACAGCCAATTACAACGAGCAACTCGCGCTCGTGTAGCTGTGCGCGCGACGTATCTTGAACAGAGCGGCCGGCAGAATGATTACCGACGAGTGCACGCAACCGTGAAAGAAACGAGTGAAATTACGCTTAACGAATACACGGTTATATTTTTCCATTCTGTTCTTCAGCAACTGTTCCGAAGTCAGCCTCAAGGAGCCACGCCACAGCAGTTGCAGCTACTGCAGCAACAACAGCAGCAGCAACAACAGCAGTATCTGGCTGCCTCGCAAGCCCAGCAGCAACAGCAACAGCAACAACAACAGAACTTTCCCACGGCGCCGTATACCGTGATCAGTGGACAGGAACCGTACGTCGGGGCATTGATAGCCGGTGCGCCTCCTCCAGTGGTGCCACAGTATTATGGAGTCGCGCCGTGGGTTTATCCAGCCGGATTGCTGCCGCAGGCACCTCCTCAAGCTGCCGCCCCGCCGCCACCCAGGCGACCGCTGACACCATCCTCGGCCGCAGCCGCGGCAGCTGCCGCTCAAGACACTGCAAATAATTTGGCCCAGACTGTAAGCAAGCTAATAATTAGTCCGCTTTCCAATGGGACACTCGGATGCAGGCGCATGTGTGTTTAGAAATAAATCCTATTGTCGCGACGCAGTTTCAGCCTATTGCTGAAATATATGTATCGCCTCGCTCGCTCTCTGTTATGCAAAGTCGTTCTCTCGTCTTCGTATTTCGCCAGTTGTTGAACGTTTCTCGATTAAGATTGGCCGTGGGGATTAAATATAAACTTCGGGCAACAATTTGCCAGCTCATTAACGTCCCTACATTTCTGTGTCAGCTACAATGGAGAGCTTTAGGAATTTATTTCTAGAATACGGTATCTAGCGCTTTCGAACTTTTGGTATTGGTACCCGATACCACCGGATACCACGGTACGCTGACTTTTATGCGATTGTTTCGACAGGTTCAGGGACAGTATCAGGTGATCCCGGCGTATTACGATCAGAATGGATCCATCGTGATGGGCGGAGTACGGGGATTGAGCTCGGCGGCGACTCCCATGAGATTAGTCAGTCCGGCACCTGTTTTGGTAAATAGAGCTCCGTCGCAGCCACCACCGGGACCACCAGCTCCACCACCGCCGAGTCTATATTCTCAACCAACCCCTACGTCTCACAGTAATGCAACGCCCGGTGAATGTTTGGGTAAGAAAGACACGCAGTCGTAGAGATTGTAATTAAATATATCCAAACTGCTCATCGGCATTGTAGATATGTGTTACTTT